GTTTTTGCTATATTTGGCGTTTTTTCTCAATACTTATATAATAGGAAAATAAGAAAATAAATTATTGTTTAATTGTAAAAAATATTATTTGATTAATAAATTTTGTTAATGATGGAATAAGTTAAATAAAAGAATGACATTCTTTAATAAATGTATTTACTGCATTTGATGCATGTCTGAAATTGTATCTGTTATATTGCCCAATTTCCAATCTTAATACCAATTACTAGAGATTATAAACATAATGATTGCGCTGTTTAAAAAAATGTATTTAAAAGTTTTAAATAAGCTCCTAAAAATTTCTTTAAGAAAGTTCAGTAAATTAACAATGTACTAGTTCACAAAATTTTGCAGCATCGTTTTGTTTTTTTACATGAAAAACTTGTTAAAAAAATTTTTTTTTTTTGCAAATAAATAGGAATTAATTTTCTCGCTTTCCTGTTCATTGATAAAAACAGTTAGCAATGACATTTGAAAAACAAATTTAAACATTGTCAGTTTTTCTAGCACGATTTATAAAGTATTTTCTTTTTATACTGACTGAAAAAATTTGGAAAAAATTGTATATCAAAAAATATTTTTACTTTTGGTTATAAAACTTATCTACTTTTTTCATTGACTTGTATCAATTTAAGTAGTGAAAAATAACAAGCGTCTAAAAAATAAGAAAACAGGAAAAGAGTAAAATATTTAGGTATATTATTTTTATAAAACAATTTTCTTTTTTTATTAAATTTTATTTAGCTTATTTTATTTAGATTTTCTATTTCGCATTATGTTCTGTTCTTTTCTTCGAGTATTGCTGTTTTATTCTCTAGTTTCTTGTAGCTTTATTTTGCCTCAAATTTTTAAAACGCTTACTATATAAAAATATGGTCAAATTTTCTTAAAAAATTACTTTAGGCGTAGACGAACAAGGCATGTGACTGCACACGCTTCCCGGGAAGGCTTGGTACATATACTTGTATTGTCAAAAACTTTAATAAAAGCCAACAAAACATCAAATATATTGTTTTGCCACGAATTCTTTGCTTTGTTTTGCCATGAATACTTTGCTTTGTTTTGCCAATTCTTTATAAATCTTTATAGTAAATTTTTTTTCTGATGTCAAATTATCTTTTTAAACATTACAGTTTGCATATTTTTAAATAAAGAAGTTATATTCATAATGTAGTACCTCGGGCATAATTTATGCGTGACTTATTTCAAATTAAAAATGATTTACTTCTATTTAAAAGCTGAATCCAGCATGTTTTTTTTTTTTTAATTCCAGTTGAATTTTATCATATTATCCGCCGAACCATTTGCTAACTCATATATTTTTTTAGGGTTCATTTGACAAATAACTTTGCTTAATTAGAACTTTTACTTTGAATTGCATAAATTGCCCATGTAATAAAATATCAAAACTTGCAACACTTCAATGAAAAATTAAATATCTAGCGTAATATTTATAAAAATCTTATAAATAAACATCAAACTAAAACTTCACTTAAAGCTTTGGTTTTGTACAGGCTCCAACACATTCTATTTGGTTAATGGTTATTATATTTAAAATTAAAAAACATCAAAACATTGGAATATCAAATAATTTTTTGTCAAATAAAAGTCAAGTTAATATAAAAGGTGATTCTCAAATTAGTGAAACCAGAGAACTAATTTTTCAAACACACCTTTTTTACAATTTTTTTACATATTTTTACAATAAACTAGCTAAATTTACATTTTAAAATACAATTAGAATTTTTTGTATAGTGTATGGGAAAATGTTGATATTAATTTCTTCAGTTACTAAAATTAAAAAATTTTCAATTTTTAATGTCAGTATATTATATTTCATTAATTGTAATAAATAAATATTTAATATTGTCATAATTATATAAAAGTATTTTCATAACTATTTTAATATAGTTTTAACAAAAAAAAATCTAGCTTTGAAAAAATATTTATACATATATATTACATTTTAGTAAATACCTTTTTGTGATGTCACACGCGTAACAAAAAACAATGAAAAATTTTATTTGTGAGCAAACTAGAATTCTTTTTTTGAAAATATTTTTATAAGCAAAAAGTATTAAAAAAACAAAATGAAAAAAATTTTTTTTTATGATAATGTGGTGAATTAACTAAAAAAAGATATAAAAAGTTTAATCACACATGTAACACATGTAACCTAGTTTTGTATTTGATGATGTGTGACATTCAACAGATATAATCATTAAATTCAAAAAATTAGAAAATAAATAATTGCTAAGGATTGAAACTAAATCATAAATATTAAATATAATTTTTTTTTTTAGTATAAATGCTTTTAACATGAATATACTATTGATATATATTACTTTTTTAAAAAATTATTCTCAATTTTTTTTAATAAATTCAACAAGAAAACAACCATTGTAGTATTTGAAAGTTATTTCAGATTGAATTAGCTTATAAAGATGAATTAAATAATTCTATAAATTATTGATTCGAAGGTCTTTGTAAATTTTATTAGTTTCCTGTTTTAAGTTTAGGTTAATATATAAAATAAAAATATATAAAAAAATAAAAATGTCTTGAGCTGAGAGATTAAAAATCTTTTAGAGGGAAATGAAAAGCGGACAAAGAATACTGTTCAATAAAAATTAAAAAGATTAAGAATATGTGAAAAATAAAATTTGCAAAAATAGACAGTACAGAAAAGGATTTATATAAAGAAAAAAAATAGAATGGACAATGTTTTTGAGAGAGGTTTACCCTATTTTTCAATCAACATATGGAGAGATAATGCCTTTCTCTATATTTTGTAAGCTTAGGCCAAAAGATATACTTTTTTTTAGAAGAAACACCCACAGACCAGTATAAGTGAAAACTGCATGAAAACTTTCGCTTATTACTTAAAGCAATAGGTATTAGCTATAATAGTTCATATTGGGTGTCTTCAATTACAATTCAAAAATGGGTTTATAATGATTGATAAAAATGGGTGCATAAGAGAACTAATAGAGGAACTATTATTTACTTTATCTAAATTTTAGGAACACGTTCATATAAAAAGAGTTCAAGCAGCAGAATTTGAAAATGTCAAGGGGATTGCAGAAGAAAGAGTTCTTCATGTGGATTTTGCAATGGCATATAATTACGAATATCTAAATGAATTACAAAGTGCACTGTGGAGTAGAAACACTGTTAAACTGTTTAATGGTACCGTTTTCAACAACAATAGTTGCAAATCATATCTTATCTGTTCAGACACTAGAGACAAGGGAAAAGATAGTTTTTACTGTTTTATTGGGTAATTATATGAGATACTTATGTCTGAAAATTATAATAATGATACTGAAACTTATTTCACCGATGGCCCATCATCAAAATTTAAAAATAAGTTTATGATGAAATTATTCCCACAATTATCTTTGCAATAAAATAAAACATCTGAGTGGAAATTTTTTTGCAACTTCACATAGAAAAGAAGATTTATATGATGTAGGAGGAAGAGTTAAGTCTCTTGTTCGAATGAAATGTATGAACAAGAATGAGAATATGTGTGCATAAACGTCTATGGATTTGTTCAATGTTTTCAAACCATTTATGACAGCTACTAATATTCTCTATATTAGCAATGATGAAATTATTAGTAAAATAGACAACAAAAAATTTTGATTAGAAGTCAAAAAACACCAGGAATACTAAAAATTCGTCATATCAATTCTTTCAATGAATGCAAGTTATTTTTCAAAACAAGTGATTTAATGTCATCTGATTTTCAAATAGACTATGTTAATGACCTGTAAGTTCCAAAAATATTTTCTAAATCTCCAGAAATGGCTTTTATTGATGGGTGCCTTGTGAAGAACAATGAAAAAGACAAAAGTGCTACTCAGTTTAATCTTTATTTCAGTTATGTTAAAAAAATAGGAAAAAAAAAAATTGTTTCAAATTTATTAAACTATTAAAAGTGTGTACAGTGTCACACACACACACGTAACAAAATTTGTCACACAACACTAAAGATTATCATTTATTTCTTTGAAGTTATTGAAATTTTGAAAAATAAAAGTATTTTTCATAAACATCAATATGTTGTCTGTAACATTAAAAAAAATCATTTAACTAATCATAGCCAATTAGCAGAAATATTGAATCAAAGTTTAAAATTCAAATTTATAGTTTAGTATGCGTCACATAAACAATTTTTTATGGCCCCTTTTATTTGAAAATATTTATACCAGAGTCACATACGTAATGCGATAATCGCCCTAAAACTAAATATTTTCACTGGTATCAGTTATGCTTAAATTAAAGTCTGTTTACATGGCCAACGAAGTGGAGGAGCACAGTCGTCTATTTCTAAACAAGATGTTTCTAAAAAAAAAATTCTAAATAATCTATTTCTAAAAAAAAAAGAGTCCTCTATATCTAGAATTTTCTCTTTAAAAAAAAAAAAAGGTAAAGCTAAATCTTAAAATTAAAAAAAAAAATTTTTCAATAAACAATGCCTAAGGTAAATATATTTGTTATATAATTTTGAATTAAAACATTTGGAAGTGTGCTCGCAAACAACAATAGAAAAAATGTTACGTCACTTGTTTCACAAACGCATTTCTCAAAATATACGTCAGTATATAAGTTATTTATATATTATATTTGTATAAGTATATATATACTTACACTAATATATATTATATTAGTATAAGTCTATTACATATTTATTATTTTTAACTAAGTACTATAAATTATTGTGTTGGAAAAGTGCATATTAAGATAAAGTTATAAAAAATACAAAAAATTACTTACAAAAAAAATTAGCAAAGATAGTAAAATTTAATTTTAAAGTTTTATTCTTTATAAACTTATTGCAACTCACCAGAAGTGTAATGACAACCGTTAAAGAAACAAATAAAAATTGGCATAAATGGCACAAGCTGGTGCATATTTTTATCCTAAACTTATTTAGATTTTAAATTTTAATTTTTGAAAAAATTATTTTTACAGTTTTTTCATTTAATATTTAGCGATGAACTACAGAAAAAGTTAGACGAAAGCAACAAAAGTTTAGAAGAAAACAAAAAAAATTTAGAAGTTAGCAATCAGTTTTCAGCTTCGTTAAAAGTGAAAGTAGAAGAACTTGGTATGTTTTTCTATTATTTCTATTGAAGTATGTGACCTTTAAAAGTATGCTATTTCTATAGATATTTACACAAGTTATTTGTCTCTTGTTGCAGTCTGGATTTAAAAGTAATTTTGTAAAAATAAAATTTTTTAAAAATCTGTTTTACAATATTAAACTTTATTTTATTCATTAAAACTAAACTGGCTTTTTATTTATCACACTTAAGTTTTGTTTTACTATTGTTACTATTTTTTTATTATATCGTTGATATTATTTTTTTATTATATTATTTTAATTATTTTTTTATTATATTATTGTTGTTATTTTTTTATTATTTTATTGTTGGTATTTTTTTATTATATTATTGTTACTATTTTTTTATAATATTATTGTTACTATTTTTTTATTATATTATTGTTGGTATTTTACTTTTTTTAATGTATATATATTTTTTTATGTGATAAACAAAAGATTTTGTTAAGTATAATCAGTGCTTGAAGTGGGACGGGATGCCATCCTGTCACCTTTTCATAAAGTATAAACCATCCCTCTACATTTTTATAAATCGTAACAATGATTAGGCAGGATGGTGTTTTTAATCTACTGAATATATATACCATACCGTTACTTTTTTATCTTTCCACTTCAAACGCTGTTTATAATATTATTTTAAGAAATAAATTTTAAGGATATATAATCATTTTCAAATACCAAATTTAGATTATGTTAGTAATTTTGTTATATTTCTTTAAATAATTTTTAATGTGGTTTTAAAAATTAAATTTAATTACATTAATGCAGTACTTTAAAGTATTCTAATGACGCAATTTAACTTTTAATATTAAAGCTTTAAAGTTTCTATTGTCAATTTATTATTGTTACGCATTACGTAAATTTATTATTGTTTTTTGTTAAGAAATAAAATTTCCTGATAATGAAAGTGTTATCTGAACCACAAACCATAGAATAGTTTAATTGAGAATAGTAGTCTTCACAGTTTCGATAATTTTATTGCCATGCATTCAAAATATTACATAATTGTTTCTTATGCGCAAAATCACATGAAAAAAGTAAATACACGGCTATAATAAGAAAGTATTCTTGAAAGAAACAGTTGATAACATGTGATTTTTTTTCGTTTTTATGACTAAGACATTGGTTTTACTTTATATAAGTTTATTATAACAATTTTAAGTCTAAACATTATATAATGCTTGTATGTTTGTGTTACAGAATATATGTGAATATGAAATAATTTAAAAACAAATTCATACAAGGAGTGCAAAAAGAGAATAGAGTTAAAAAATGCACAATTATATATATATATATATATATATATATATATATATATATATATATATATATATATATATATATGGTTGGCTGCAAGATAGGAGGTTGGCTGCAAGAGCAAGTCCAACTATGTTTATAATTCGTTTTTTCACTTTGTCTAAAAGAGAAAGGGCATAATTGGAAGATCCGCCCCAGATATGGCAACAGTATTCCATACAAGGATGAATTTGAGATTTATAGATAAAGAATAGAATCATGAGTAAGAAAGTGTCAAGCACGATAAAAGGATGCAATCTTAGCAGATGCTAATTTTGCAATGGATTTGATATATGGTTTCCAAGAAAGATAGGAAGTGAGAGTTTACCCTAGAAGATTAAGGGTAGATGACTTGTCGAGTACATGACCATTCATAAATACAGGAAGATCTAAATTATTGCGGTAACAATTGGTTGAAAAATATTGGGTTTAATTTGAATTAAAGTTCACCAGCCATTGTGAGCCCCAAGCTACAGCAGAAGTAAGATCTTTTTTAAGCTCAAATGTCCCCTCCAAGCAATCAGAGAGTGCTGGCTTCTTATCAAGACAAAAATAAATGATAGTATCATCAGCAAGCAATGGTACCTTAGATGTGAGAAATTCTGGAAGATTATTAATGTAAATTAAAAAGATTATAGGGCTAAGGATAGAACCTTGAGGAACTACTGAAGTTACAGGAAGTGAAGAAGAGTTGTAGAAATGTCAATTGTGATATATATATATATATATATATATATATATATATATATATATATATATATATATATATATATATATATATATATATATATATATATATATATATATATATATATATATATATATATATATATATATATATATATATGTATTAGGGGTATGACTAAATAAATTTTTCAAGAATTTTTAACTCCCCATGCCACCATGAGTGGAGAAATTATAATTATAAACAGAAAATATAGTTTTTAATGTTAATTTTAGAAAAAGATCACCCCCAAGCTGAAAATAATTTTTCCTATCTTTTTAGTGTTATCCTAATGAGTTATAAATAACACAATAGACACACAAAAATGGCTAAAAATGGTCTTGCTTCAAAAAAGAATAAGAAAGTTTGAGAATCAAATTTAGTGAGGTTTGAAAAAGCTAAGACTTCAAGAAGATGTGCTATTGTTAAAAGTATTGGTGAAATTAATAAAATGCTAACAGAGTTGCATATCATTGATTGATTCAAAAGTTTGTCATTAAATGTAAAAAACAGAAAGGAGAGAGTTGCAATTTTGGCTAAAGAAACTGAACTACTATGGAAAAAGCTGAATATTCCAATTCTACAAAGAAAATCAGCATCAGAATGAAAAATAGAAAATATATTGAAAAAACTAGACAAAGATAGTCGAAAACCCGGAACTCAAAATTTTACCCAGTTGTTTAACAAAACTGATGAAAAAGTTAAATGGTTGTGTCAGCAAGATAAAGAACTCTACTGTCTGCAAATGTCAACAAATGGAAGAGTTGGATATTGCACCACAATTGAAGATACTGAAGGTATTCATCCAAGAAAACTAGTGTTGATAAGGAAACAAACTTCCATCAGCCGAGACCAAGATTTCGATGAACCAGCTAGTGAAGGAAGTCATTCAGAAACTGAAGAGCAATGTTCCAGCAGTGATACTGAAGCTGAAGATGTGGAAAGTTTATCATCATTGTCTAAAAGACAAAAAAACAAATTTGGCTGTAAATTTGGTGATTTCTGCGAAGATTAGTACCAAAAAATCACATAAAGTCTGCAAAACTTTATCAAAAAGTGGAATTTCTATTCCTACTCCAACTCAAATTAGTGTCTACAAAGAGGTCATGAAATAAGGAGAAATCCTGAAAGCAAATTATATAGAGAACTTAAAAAATGAAAAGTGGTCTTTACACTTTGATGGAAAGCACATAAAGAAAATGGAGCATCAAGTAGTTGTTTTGAAAAATGAAAAAAAAGAGGTTAGACGTGCTGATCTTAAACTGATGAGTAGAAAAGGTGAAACAATATTTAAGCTTGTGCTGGATGAATGCTGTAGCCAGCCATAAAAATGATTGTATCTGACACAACATCTGCAAATACCAGAATAATAATTGGTGTAGTAACACTGTTACAGAAATATTTTAAAACTATTGGAACACCATATTTTAGATACTCTTTTAAAACATGTCATGAATGATCTTTTTGATAGTTCAACATCAACACCAAATCTTCATTACCTTTTAGTGACAAGATTATTGCAAGACTACGAGAACCTGAAGTTATTATTTCAGAATACTGGAGATCCTTTGACAAAAGTGAATTGGACATGCTGGCGAGATGACATGGACTTCCTGCATCACTTAATAGCTTGTTATAGAAACTTTAAAAGCACAGGTACTTTTCCAAAAGTAAATTTTAAAGCACTTCCTGCTATAAACAATGCAAGATGGAACTCGAGAGCAATTTTTGTTCTACTTGCTTACATTCTAATATCAGACTATCAAGAATCGAAATCTGCTCAAGCAGCATGCAACTTCATCTGATATATGGTGTGGTAATTACTACCTCAATTCTGCAGATTTTGTTAATCTATTAGAAGCATGCAATGAACATCCAAAGGCATTGAAATTGTTGAAGACATTTTGGTCCACAGAGCCAACACCGATTTCAATACAACAGTCAAACATATGTGCAGAACGTGCAGCAAAAGTGATGCAAGATTTAGTGCCTTTATGCTGTAGCATAGAAAAACTTAACATTAAATACTTATTGTCAAATACACTGTGAAATTATTTTAATTACTCATGTTTGTTAGTTTTCTATATAGTACTGGAACATGTGTTGCAAAATAACATTTCTTATATTCTATTAATCTTGTTTTTAAATGGGGGGGTGAACTTTTTTGAGATAAATGTATAAATGTATGATATTTTCTTGATTTTTACATAAAAACTCCACTAAATTGAGTATGGGGATACAGGGTTGAAAACCTGTCATACCCCTAATATGTGTATATATATATATATATATATATATATATATATATATATATATATATATATATATATATACACACACACACATATAAATACACACTTATATATATATACATATATACAGGGCTCGAAATAAGCACCGGACAACCGACATTGTCCGGTACTGTTCTGTAAAAAATGACATTTATTGGTCATTTTGTTTGAGATATATTTTATGGGCATTTATTTTCTAATCATATTAGTTGCGTCGAAGTTATTAATAAAGTTAGTACTATATATAAACTTTATTTTTTGAACTTTCTTTTTTTATGCAAAACAATATTGAAGTTTAACACTCGGCTATGTTAATAAAATCCCTTCTTTTTTTTTTGAGTAAATTTGTTTTTTAAAAGATGCCAAAGCATCTTTTGAAAAAACAAATTTTTTTTTGAATTAAGTTGCCTGGTCTCTATCATTCATATATATATATATATATATATATATATATATATATATATATATATATATATATATATATATATATATATATATATATATATATATATATATATATATATATATATATAAATATATATGTATCAGCCCTTGGAATAAGGGTTGGCATTCAGCAATGCCGACCTAACTGTTGACCTCAAAATGTTTGAGGTCAGGAAAAATTTAAAGACCTTGCTTTTACATTTTATGGTAATCCCTTAGTGTCAAATTTT